CTCAGGCACCGCCATCTCGGGTGCCTTTGGGAGCTTCATCTCTGACACTTTCGGAAGTGCCACCTCTGGGAGCTGCACTTCTGGAAGGGCTGCCTCTGGCACTTTTGGGAGCTTGACCTCAGGGGCCTTGGGGAGCTTCACGGCAGGCCCCTTGACCTCAGGTGCCGAGACCCCAATGCCAAAGGAGGGCATCTTGATGGTGGGCAGCTTCAGCTTGCTCTCAGCAACGGCTTCAGGGGCAGTGGGCCGGGCCTCCAGGAGAGAAAGCCCGAAGGTGGGCATTCGAAGTCTGGGCCCCTTCACCCTGACCTCAGGGCTGCCCTTGGCCACCTTGACCTCAGCTACTTCCTTTGCTCGGGCCCCAAAGCGGGGGAAACTGAAGCCGGGCGTCTTCAGGGCCACCTCAGGCACCTCTTCTTGGGACTCCATCTCCGCACCCGGCAAAGCCAAGTCCACCCCCACAGCAGGAACTGCTACGTCCAGGGTGGGCACCGTCAGTGCTGCCGTAGCCCCTTCCCGGGTCTCCAGACAAGGCAGCGTGGGCAAACTGGGTAGCGAGGGCAAGGTGGGCAGCTCCACTTGGGGAACCTGAATCCCTACAGCCACAGGCTCCACAGCAGGTGCAGCGGGGGCTCCAAGCCCCAAGGTTGGCAGGTGTAGGGCAAAGCCAGTGGCTGCTTCTACTGCGGGGGCCTCCTTCCCCCAGTCCCTTTGGGGCTGGGACCTGGGGGACACCCACCTCTGTGCTTGGCAACCCAGGCCCAACCAGCTCCAGCTGGGGTGCTGTGAAACGGGCCCCTGCTGCCACCTCAGCCTCCGCTTTGGCTTTTCTGTGGGGAGGAGCAGCGGCAGCCAGCCGAGCTACCTGGGCCTCTTCGGCCACTTCCCGGACACGCAGCTGCGGCAGCTGGAGGCGCCGGCGGGTGGGAGCAGCTGGGACAGGACCCTTGACAGCCTCGGCTTTGAGGCCCCGACGCAGACGGGAGAACTTGGGGAAGGAGAATTCGACGTCAACGGGGGCCAGATCTGCAGGGACCCCAAGGGCCCCAGGCACCACCATCTTCTTCTTCTTCACAGGGGACAGACTCTGGATGTTCTGGGGAGAGAGGAGAGAGGCGGGAGGCAGTGGGACAGTGAGGCCTAAGGTGGACAGGGGGAGCCCCACCTGGTATTGTACCAGGCTGGGGATGTGATGGAGTCAGCATTTTGTCCCCAAAACACCATCCCCACTTCCTGCCTGTCATTTCATCATACTGCCCTTGAAGGCGAAGATATTCATTTAGAATCTTACAGTGAGTCAACAGGAATGTAGAAACTGGGACCCAAGACTTCTAGGTCCTCAATCAGGATTTTCCTCAATACCCTCATTCTAGAGATGGGGAAACTGAGGCCTACGGAAGAAAAGAAACTTGTCCAGGGTCACTCAGCAGTAAGTGAGGAGCAGTCAGGCTGAAACCTGGAATCCTGATTTGGAAACCCCTGGTGCAGGACCCCTCGCAAGCCTGGAGCTGAGAGTGAGGACACCTCTCCAAAGTGGGTGAGGGCCCTGGTCTGGGTGGGTCCCCCACCCAGGGAGGAGTTTAGGGTCACAGAACTGGAGGCAAAGGGTGGGATTAGCGTTGGGTTAGTGACAAGACAGAGGGCCAGGCTGGCCCGCGGTGTAAGGGAGTAGGGTTCATGGCGCAGAGACGAGATCGCCGGGACAGTCCAGCGCTGGGGCCGGGCTAAGCACGCGTACCAGCTTGGCCACCTTGGCCCGTGGGCCCTTGATCTCGTAGCCAGACACGGTCCCAGGCCGCAACGCCAGGTCCCCGGTGGGCACAGTGCGCTTCAAGCAGAAGGAGACCTTGTAAGGCTCGGCACATTGCAGCAGGCGTAGTGCGTCCTCGTACTTGAAGTTCTCAAAGAACACGCGGGCGCTCAGCAGCTGGTCCCCTGCAGGCGAGGTGAGCAGGGGTGGGCATCTCTCAGTTCCACCCACGCCTGGTTCCTCCCCTTCCCTGGAACCGGTGCGGCGAGGCCCCGCCCAAAAATTTGGCTCCCACCTATCCCAAGCGCAAGACTGAGCAGCAAAGCAGCTCCTCCCTGTTTGAAGTGGAGGGGGGGGGGGGGGGACGGACGGACACACGACACTTAAGAAGGAAGCCCCACCCCATGGCCTTAGCTCCGCCTCCCCACTGGGCAAATCCACACCCATTCAGACCACGCCTGTCGCCTTCCCATTCCCCTCCCCTATCCTCACATTTCAGACCTTTTTTTAAACAGTTAAACTTTACAGTTACAATATTCCCTTCATCTTTTGCCAGGTTTAAAAATGTGTACAGAGCCAGGCAGGCATGGCTCAGTGGTTGAGTGTTGACCTATGAACCAGGAGGTCACAGTTTGATTCCTAGTCAGGGCATATGCCTGGGTTGCAGGCTGATCCCCAGTGTGGGGTGTGCAGGAAGCAGCCGATCAATGATTCTCTCTCATCATTCTACTTCTTTCTCCCTCTCCCTTCTTCTCTGAAATCAATCTATACATATATATAACCCTAATATGCAAATAGACTGAAGGGCCGAACAACCAAACAAGCAGTCACTATGACGTGCGCTGACCACCAGGGGGTGCACGCGGAACATGGCGGGCGTCAGCAGCAGGCGGCAGTGCAGAACATGGCAGGCGTCGGTGGTGGTGGGATGGTGGAGCAGGTGAGCGGGGTCACCAGACCAAGTCAGGGCGCCGGTCACTATCATCAGGGCGAGCCTCTGTTGGTTACTGAAAATTCTTTGCTTCCCCGTGCCGCGGTCCCGCCCGGCACTCGCACTTACTGCCATTGCCTGGTGCCGGCCCCGATAGCTCGGCGCTGTCAGCTGGTGTGAGCAGCAGCTGCCAGCCCCAATCACCCCTCAAGGCTTCTCCACCTCCCCCTGCTCCTGAGGGGCAATCGGGACCAGCAGCCACCTCTTGCACCCACTGCTGGCAACAGCCCTGCTTGCACCCACTGCTGGCGCCAGCCCCAATTGCTCCGTGCCATCAGCGGGTGTGAGCGGGTCGGTGTGGGAGCAGGGCTGCCGGCAGACAGGGGACTGGGGGCCATGGTGGGAGGGGCCAGGCAGGGGTGCAGAGAATGGGCCGAGACCTGCCCCTGTGCACACCGCAGCCTCGCAGCCCACAGTTCCTTTCAAGGTGCATGAATTCATACACTGTCCTATATAATAAAACCCTAATATGCAAATCAACCAAACGGCACAACGACTGGTCTCTATGACATGCACTGACCACCAGGGGACAGACGCTCAATGCAGGAGCTGCCCCCTGGTGGTCAGTGTGCT